CCACACATGGCTACTTAAACTGTTAAAATTAAATAAAACAAAAACTTGAGTTCCTTAGTCACACTAGCCACATTTCAAGTGCTTAATAGCCATGGTAATAGCTACTGTATTGAACAGCATAGATATAAAATACCTCCCAACACAGCAAAAAGTTCTTTAGATGGACAGTGCTGCAATAGACGCTGCTGAACATGCAGGGGAAGAACAACTCAGCCAATTATATGTGTAAATGAAATTTGCAATTAACTCAAGAATGCTTTTAAAGTGGTATGAAAACTAAAGGGATGGAATACAATTTCTCTTTTGGTTAAACCTGCTAGAGGAAAGGAGATTATGTTTATAACTTACATCCGCTTTTGCTTTAAAACCCGCAAGGCTTTCTGCTTGACCATATTCTAGGAAGAAAAATAGAATTTATTGAAAGGAAGTAGAAAATATACATATGGTAAAAGAAATCTTCCATATCTTCAGACTCATATACCTAGTTCCTCTCGTCTTCAAAGCAGTGGACACAGTGGCTCCTGGATTTTTCACCTCCTAAGCAGCCTTCAAGCCCTGGCTTGCCTCTGTCCTTGCATCTCGTATCTCAGGGTACTGAGGTAATTTTCTTTTCCTAGTGCATATCATCTCTACTCCCAGCCCCAAGAGGGCTGATTTTGTCTTTCCAGGTGCCTTAGGGAGAGTCCCAATTTGGACAATCTGCTATCCACTCAAACTCACCATGCCCACACTCCTCCACCTGCTCTCATCTTGGAACTTACTAACAATGGCCCCACCAGTCTCTCACTTCTCTAGGCTGAGAACCGTTATACCAACCTTACCTTTCCCCTCTCTGTTGTCTCTTCATGCACTGTCATCGTGTTAGATTTTCAGAACTCACTTTCAAATTGACTCCTTTCATGTCATTCTCATGACTACCACCATGATTTAGGCTTTCATCTCCTCAAGTCTAGGTGAGCTTTCCGCCTCTGGTGGCTCCTCATTCCATGCCATCCAACTAAGATGGCGGAGAAAATCCTCTTGTCACTTCCCCTTCTGTACTGTTTCATAAACCATTTTATTTGTCTCCTCCAATGAAGAAGGAAAAGCAGATTTTATTACTTCACAGATAATAATACCTAACTGAACATTTCTATGTACTAGACACAGTGCTAGGGCACATAAATTACCTCATTTAATTCTCACACTATGAAGCAGGGTTTTTTTTTAATGTTTATTTTTTATTTTGGTGGGGGAGGTAATTAGGTATATTTATGTATCTAATGGAGGTACCACGGATTGAACCCAGGACCTCGTGCATGCTAAGCATACACTCAACCAACTGAGCTATATCCTTCCCCCTGAAGTAGATATTATCCCCATTTTACAGATGGGAAAAACCAAGGTTCAGTGAGGCTGAGTAATTTGCTCTAGCTCAAATGCCTAATAAGTTACGGGGATTGGAAAAAGAAGGGTAGTTCTATATTCACTTAAATACAATACTCTATGTTTCTGCTTAATATAAGAGGAAAATAAGAAACTGACTTCTATCAAGGTCACAGCTAGTACATATTGATGGTATCATTAATACAACACTGGTACTTTTTCCCAACATGCCACTCCTTAACCAATCTATTATACTTACCTACCCTGACCAGCCCAGCAACTCATTATTCCTGAGCATGGCCCAGCCTCTCCAGATGGCCACCTTCTCAGTAGAATATGCTAATTCCCAAGTACATGCTTCTAGACATGGGATTAGCATCTTCTCTCCACCAGGTCAAACCCCAGCCTTCCTCTCATATCTGGCTGCAAATTCTCCTTCCTGAAGAATACACCCTCACATACATTTTCTCCTTAGTAGACTGTGAGCATCTCCTCTGTAGCTCTCACCAGGCCCTACCACCAGGTCCTGTTTACACAAGTGCTCCAATTAGGCTGTCACAGCACCTTCTGCAGGTACCTCCTATCTTACCTTTGCAGGGCCCTCTCTCATCTTCTTGATCTGATCCTTATACTTCACTAGTTCAGCATCCAGTCGAGAGATCTTCTTATCAATGGATTCTGCCCTGCTGTCCACCTTGAGGGAAAAAAATTAAAGGCAGTGGTAGTTATTGCAATACATTTAAATGAAAAGTGGAAGGAGAGGAATGAATATAGAGGAAGAAAAGAAAAAGGAGAGCACATAGTGAAAGGTGGAAACGATAATTTCCAATGATGGAGGGAGGAAGATTCCCAGTCAGAAACACTGGGGGGGCTTTTATACTCTTCCCCTAAGATACTAATATTCCAGGGTCACCCTCAACTGTGTTTGAGCAGAAAAATAATTTGCGAATCACTGGGCTGAGTTGAGATTTCCTTAGACTCGGAGACGAGTAAGGATAGGGGCTCAACCAGGAGACGTGTGAAATGGGCTAGTGCCTGGTGGGTCCCGGCTAGGGCTGTATATCTAATGTTATTCTTTTGGATAGAAGGTGGTGGCTTAACATGAGGTGTCAGAGTTCTCAATTTTGAGTTACTGAGATACAGGATTGGGGTACAAATATGGTGAGCTAGGATATCAAGCCGAGGGTCCTGACGTGCGAGAGGGATGAGGGATGAAAGAGGAGTTACGGGTCGGGCTCGACGAGGTGGCTTTGTGTGTGGGCCTACGGCTGGTTGGGGTGAGGAAATAAGGCAAGGGCGAGCGGACGCGGCACTGGACATCAGAAGGGATCGGGTGCAAGGACGGGGAGACAGTGGTGGGTTAAGGGTCCCCGGTTTGTGGCGTCTGGAATGACTCGGGTGACAGGAAGGAAAGTGGGGTGGAGAGCGCTCAGGTGTAATGGGCCCGGGACCAGGAATGGGGTGGAGGAGGAGTCGGAGCCGGGGGTGGGCGGGGTCGGGGTTCTTAGGGGCCCTGAGCCTAGTTATGCGTGGCTGAGTGCCCACCGTGCCAATGCAGTCAGTCAGGCTGGGTGGCGGAGCCTTGGGTTTCGGCTTCCCGAAGAATCGGTTCATCTTGGCCGGTCGAGAAGAAAAACACCGCAGCAAGACCAGAAACGGAAGCAGAGTCACCTCCGCCTTCGACTTGACTTCCGGCCCCCCGTGCGCAAGCGCAATGTGCCCATTGGCGTTTCCCGATCCCTTTTCCGGATTTTCAGCTGGGTCTTCCGGGGAAGGAGAGCTCTAGGAGTTTGGAGGTGGGGACAGGGAGGATTAGCAGGGGGCGTGGCCTAGGTGCCGATCGTGGGCGTGGCCTCGGGTGAGTGGGTGGGGCCTTGGGCGGCTTTAGCGGAATAGAGCCCAGCTGCAGCTGGGCTGCTCCGAGGGGCGGGGCCGGTAGGCCCCGGTTGGGCGGGGAAGTAGCCGGGCGGGTTGCAGGGCACCGTGCTCAGCTCCCACCGCTGGGCGGGCAACAAGCGCGGGTCTGGCGGAGCGCGGCGGCGCGCGGAGAACGCGAGGACGACCGGTTGTAGCATTACATTATTGTACTTTGCAGACTATTGTGTTATAAATTGAAGACTTGTGGCAACTCTGTACTGAGACTGTATTGGTACCATTTTTTTTT